CTTTGATCCAGCGGCAGGAAACTACCTCACCAAGATCCTCAATGGTCGTTGGACGCTCACATGCCATGCGTACAACCGAAATTGTCAACAAAGCACAGAAGTACAAAAGGGCATTCCCACGAACTCAAGGACGAGTTCCAGAACTATATCGCACAACTATTCCCATCGTCGTACACATACCTTGCAAACTAAATTTACCGAAAGAAAAATGACTAATCAACCATAGCATGCGAAGGGCTTCAACTGCCTTAAGAGCCTGGATCATATAGCAGACTAAACTCCTACTTAATAAAGATGAATCTGGCTCGTGAAAGCACCTGACTCCCATATCCTTCCTTTGATCCGACCTCGTCGATACAGCATGTTTCCTAGGCAGGCCTAGCAGCTTTAGGCAGGCTCTTGCATAAACTAAAAAGTAATAATAGTGGAAATATTTGTTAGGGGTCCACTTTATCGCAGCATATATATGATTATTCCTTTATGAATATTTATCGAAATTTTATGTTCCGAAAAACTATTAATTAAAATAGCAATTCTTACTATCCAATTTCGATGAAAAATTTAAGCTTTTAGATAGGTTACTTATATTTTGATTTAATTAATTTTATAAAACATATTTTTACAAAAATAATTTTGGTAATACATACATACATATGTATGAATACTGTAACGGACTAATAAAAATAACTTGGCTTTCGAGTTTCTATTGTAGTTGGCCAGCTAATTGCTAATTATTCGACTGTATGAAAAGTCAATATTTTACCTGCAATATTTTTTAATTTCCCCCTTTTTGGTTGTACCCAATTTGAAGTTTTGGCTATATTTTCAAGTTAATTAAAATTTGGAATTTTCACTGTTTTGGAAAATACAAAAAAAAAAACATTTGCCAATAAAGTTAAAGTTAATTTTACCGTTAGTAAATATGATTGGAAGTTGACTGCGCTAATTAATTTTATTTTGTGAATACATTTTCTAATTGTGGTTTATGTATTTTATCATCGCATAAATTATCCATTCCTAGCTCATTATTTTATTTACTGCCCATTACGTACACATGTATGTACGTATATGCATACATACATATGTATGTATGTATGTGTATTTCATTTACAACTACTACATGCAATTAACTAACTTATAATTGTAAATATCTGTTGTCTATTCTGTATTTAATTCGTATGAAATAATTTCTGGATTTTGAAGACCACAAGGTTTGCATTTTAAAACGAATAATTTTTTATTATTAAGATATGTATACTTATGCTTATTAATTTCCAGAAAATTTATCGATTTGTTTGCCGATATCTTAATCAAAATATATTTTTTCCCAATATATTCAACCTTATTTATAGTCGCTAATAGTATTTCGTTATATTTTTTTACATACAACTATATTTATAAATATTCTTATCGCGATTATTATCGGAGAGTTCATGGAAATATTTGTACATTTCGTCATCGATATATGTCCAAAGGTGCAAATATTTTTAACGATTTATTACATGAAATTATTACAACTATTAACTCCAATATAGTTGTCGTTATAAATTGATATTTTAATCGAAATATATTATCTTTTATTATTACAAGCTGCCTTTATACTTTCAAATAACTGTTTTAAAAATTTCTACATGTATCGATATTTTTTATCGAGATCATTATCGGAACATTTGTTGGAATACTTAGGCATATGGTTGTCGCTATTGATATTTGCCAATATTGTTAACGTGTTATTGCGTTCAATGATTACAATTTTTATTGACATCGTTATAGATACATTGATTTATACTTTTATCGAATTTATCATTTATGAATTATTACCGACATAACTATACTAATCTAAGTAGATATTAATATCTAAGCAAAAAATAATATTTATAACAATGAGTATTTATCGATATCGTGTTTATCATTACCAAGTATTTATCAGTATCATTTTAAATTCAAATTTTTCGATATTTTGATATCGTTTCGATATTCGATTAATTTTGACTGTCATTTATATACTTTAGCATCTGTCAAAATCCATATCGATATGCTTATCGATATATATATTTTGGGACATAATTATAGATATTTTGATGTATATTATTATAGCATTTATCGAATTCGTTATCGCCAATATAAAAATATTTATCTTTAACGGTATCGATGAATTTGTGAAAATAATTACTCGTATCGCTATCGCTATACATATGTATGTGTCGTTATCATTATATATGTATTGACGGATATTATCGCGATATTTATAGAGATTTGTATCCATATTTTTATTTGAAAAAAGAAACAGTCCAGAAAAATTTAAATAATATAGTATAGGTAATATTTATATACTAAGCACACATTTTTTTATTCTAAATACATGCATGTTTGCTTGCCCCTTTTTTATTATTCATTCATATTTTTTGCTTGCTCGTAGGTGTAAAAA